ATTCAGATTCCGACCTCAGATCCATATTCCAGTCACAGATTCATATCCCCACCTCAGATCCAGATTTCGAACCAGATTTCAGTCACAGATTCAGATTCCCACCTCAGATCCAGTTTCTAGTCACAGATTCAGATTCCCACCTCAGATCCAGTTTCTAGTCACAGATTCAGACTTCTACATGTACCTCAAATGCAGGCTGTATTCTCAAAATCAGATTTTTATCTAAAATCTAGATTTCTGATTTCCACCAAATATCAAGATTCCAGTTTCAGATTGTATTCTTAGATTCTCATTTTCATTTCACTTGCACATTTCCAATCAAAACCAGATTTCTCGCTCAGACTCATATTCTAGTCTCAGATTCTGAATTTTACCTCAGATCCAGACTGTATTCTCAAGATTCAGATTTCTACTACAAATCCAGATTCCGATCAGAATTAGATTTCTATTTCACTACCAGATTTCAGTTGCTGTTGCAGATTGCATTCTCAGAATCAGATTTCTATGTCAGATCCTGGTTCCAGGCTCAGATTTAGATTGTATTTTCAGATTCAGATTTCTAGATTCAAATTCTCATTATTGCAATAAAGTTAAACCCAGACAGTATGGGATGACATCAACCTCAACTATTAGTATGTGTCAGTTGATATGATTGCCAAACTGCTTTCATGCTATTTTGTGGTGTTCTTGCTTATACAGTCAAACCTGTGTTAACGGCCACCTGAATACGGCGGCCACCTGCCTATAGCGGTCACAACCAAACAGTCCCTACGAATTTTACATGTAATGTACCCTGTTTATAGCGGCCACCTGCCTAACGCGGCCAACGGCCACGCTTCAACGGCTGAAGTGATCAGTTGAACTGCATATAACGGATATAGTTCCCGGATGTCTTGCAGACGACTGCCTTCCACCTCAGACAACTAATAAGCTCACAAAGGACAAAGTTAGCACATTTTCACACCTTTCATTCAACCGATGGCTTCGGCAATTATGTTTTATTCTTGTTTATAATTCAGTTTTCCACGGCAAGCACACCGCACCAATGGCTATGGAATGCCAAAAACATAATTAAGAATTTGAAAG